TAAATTAAAAATAGTAAAAGATTTATTTCAAACAAACTTGTTGATTTTAACGATTTTGATTTTTTTCTTCGTCAAACTCTAATAACGTGTCATTTTTATATATTCTCTCTAGTTTTATTTTACTCACTCCACATCATCGTTGCCTTCCATGGTATTTAAGAGAAGGCTCTACATAGAGAGGGAGACAGATTAGAAAAGCACAGAGGGAGCAAAAACATAGAGAAAACGTGTGAAAGCACAGTCTTTTTTTTTTCTCTTCGTTTCTCCACTCCATCTCATTTTCTCTCTAGAAATCAACCACCACTACCCTCATTCGTCTTCCTCCATTTCACTCTCAATCTCCATCCACCTCAGTTATTAAATCTACGTTTTCCCTTACATTGGTAAGTCAGGTGAGTCAAATGGTTTTTGTGTGTTTATATTTAATTGTGATTTCTGTCACCTTTTTTTTCCCATGTATCCCAATTATTTGGGATTATTTTTCACTGTTTTTCATTGCTGAAAGTGATTTTGAAGTGTTTATGAGTTGTATTTTGTTAAATATTAAAGATTTTGAAGTCGATTTATGAGCGGTTTTCTTTTGGGATTTAGTAGATCTTTGAAGACTTCAGAAGCTTTTGCTTTTGAAAAATTGCAGTAGATTTTGAGGTTTTTTTATTTAAAAATTGGTTATTCTTTTTTTAATTAAAAGTGTAGATTTTGAACTTTCTTTTATTGTTTATTTTTTGGGTTTTCAAATTTGGTAATCAAAATAAAAGGTTGTTTTTTATTACCAATTAAAGTTTTAAAAAGAAAATAAGTCTTTTAAATTAAGTTTTTAGAATAAGTTTTAGAATTTTTTTTAATAAAGTACTGAAATTTTATTTTAAGTAAATAAAAAATAAGTTTAATTTTTTACCATTGTTTTTATATTTTTATTTTCTCTTTATTTTATTTTATATTTTTACCATTGTTTTTATTAAATAATTATTTTAAATAAAAGTTTTTTTCTTTTTAAATAAAAGTTTTTTTCGTTTATTTTTTTAAACAAAATAAAAAAAATAGTATTATAAAAAAAAAATTTAAATTGCATCCTAAGGTCTTGGTAGAGTGGTAAGAGCTTAGAATATCAAAAACTAAAATTTTTTTAATGGTATTCGTGCCACTCATACCTATTAATTCAAATCTTATAACAAGATGTGAATTAATATAATATGAGACATTTCAATCAAAACACAAAAATATTATTTTCCTTGGACCAAATAAAATAATAGGATAAATTATGATAAAATGTGGTACCGTTTTTGAACGGGTGTCGTAGGGTGCTAACACCTTCCCTACGCTCAGTCGACTCCGAACCAAAAATCTGTTTTTCCAGACCAAGTTTTTAAAATAGGTGACCAATCAGTGATTGGTGGCGACTCCAAACCCTTATCTCGAAAGAGACCTTTCAGGGGATGATGTCGGCCACTCCACGTCGCGATGTCGCACCTATTAAACAACTTCGCACATCTTATATTTAAATAAAGGCAAAAATGACTTGCTAATTTGAACTTAGCTAATTAAGGCATATATATCGACCAAAAATTTGTGGATTTCCACTCTTACCCACATGTTGCTCAAAGAAAGTAGTAAAAATTACATCTTGGGTGTGGGAAAAATATAAAAATAAAAGAAAAGATTCGGTCATTTGTGGGTTGTTGAATAAATCAAATTCTCACCATTTCTCTCGAGTATAATCATTGTCAAAATAAGCAATATGAATACAATTCATGGGTAATTGACACATACTCCTTTCCTTAAGTCGAAGGTTCTAATCTCATACTTCAAATTTATTGTATTAAAAAAAATTATTGCAAAAATAAAGGCTACTTGGAAACATAGATTGATTTACATGTCTCTGATACAAAATGTCACTTTACAAGTTTGTCTATTATATTTATGAGAGAATTTGTAATAACGGATTTTTGAATACTTTTACTATACTAGTGTATCATCACGTGCAAATGTATGTAATATTCTTTTTATTTAATTTTTCATTAATAAAAATATCACTATTTATTGAAAAAATATATCAAAAGTAAAAAACTTAAAAGAAATGTTTATAAATGAATATAATTATATAACTCAATTAATGTTCATAAATGAATATAATTATATAACTCAATTTTTGTTGCTGAAATAATGTTGGAAGAAAAATCTACTTTATATTTTAGATTTTTTTTAATTTATACTAAATTAAAGTTCTATAGTTAGTTATAATTAAAAATAAAATATTTCAACAAAGTGAAATGATTTTTCACATCCAAGTTTTTAAATTCTATATATTTATTAGGTGCATTTAAATTTTCATTTATTCAAAATTTGATTTCCCAACCATTATATTTTACTTAATAAAAATATGATTGATTTTTTTTCCTAATTAATTTTTAGCATTAAGAATTTATCCCTTTTTTCTTTAAAACAATAGATACTCATAAATTTATATCTATAATTTCATTTTACTTATTATATTTGGGTATTCAATAAATAAATATAATAATTACTATTTTCAAGACCCTAACAAATCCTACAGGTTAGGGTTTTTTTTTTCTCTCCTCTCCGAAGACGAGTTTTTCCAAAGGAGAGCGGAAAAAAGTGGGGAGAGGGGTGGCTAGTGGCCTACTCCCCTCCTCTTCTTCTCCTCCCAGTTAAGGGGGTGCGTTTTCTCCCAATCCTCTCGTTGAGTTTTTTCGGAGGGTTTTCCTTTCTGCCTTGTTTCAGTTTTTTCGTAGTTTTTTTCAAGTAGTAAGTAGCATGGATCAAGATATTTCGGGGACTTCTATTGCTGTTGTGAATGCAGTTTTCAGGGAGGATCCTTCTTTCCCGCTAGTTTCTATTATGGCGGATAGTGGTTGGATGTTGGGGATCTCCCATTGGATGCCAATAGTGCTGTTGCGGCAGACAAAATCAAATCCAACATCGTTATGTATGATCCATGACATCATCATCAGGACGTTTTTTGAAGAGTTACCATGCACAAAATTGGAGAGGATTACCGCCTGTAATTTCTTGGGATGACTCTTCATCTTCGTTGCATTCTAGTTCAGAAAACTTACATGGTTTCGGGACAAGGATGACGAATCAAAAGGTGGGCGACGATGGAGGTGCGACAGTGATCAGCTCGAAGACCGTTTTGGGAACTGTGGAGGTTATCAATCTTAATTGTCTTGAAATTCCTTATCAGCATGATTTCAGGAATTTGCTTAATACTTCCTTACCTGTCATGGTGGAGGATAATGCAATTTTTGATGTAATTATTTCTCTCCAAATTAAATTCTAAATAGAGGTGTCATAATTGTCAATATCCTTCAATTAATTGAAGAATATCTCCAAAACCATTAAATGAGATTGTGGATGTTGTGGCGTTGGAGAAAATGTTTGGTGGGCTAGAATTTGTTCATATTCTTAGTTCTTTGAACAGTCAATCTGTTTTATTGTCTAAGTGTAATGATCGTTTCTATGTCCTTTGGAATAATTGTTTTCTTTTATGGCTTCTGTTTGTGGTGCGTTGTCACCCCTCTTCTAATTGAAACCCTTAGTGATACGATTTATTTTTAATGCAATGTTTCTTTGATAAAATAAAAGTTACTATAATAAAAATTATTATATTATAATATTCTATAATATTTATTTTTAATCCACTTTTAATTTGTTATATTAATTTTAATGAGTTATAATGAATTTACCATTGTGAATCGAAATATACTTTAGAGTTTTAATTTAACAGATTTATAAATCAATGCACATAATATTTCCAAACAAAATATTCCTATACATAATAAAATATCAGTTTTTAGCTACTTTTAATTTAACAATTACTAAAAATATGCTATTTCCTTTTAATCAAACTCAAAAAATAAAAATAAAAGCATTATTATTTAATGTTAGTAGGAGATAATTTTTCTTTTAATATACAAATAGGAGAGAAAGTTGATTGAATAATCCATATTACGTAGAATAAAAAATCATAACAATACTAATTGTAAAATAATTTATAACGGAATGATTTAATATCTTAATTTCTCAGAAATTGCCCACATTTGATTGAGGTTTGAGATTAAATTGTAAGATTCAATGACTTCTACTTATAAACAACATTATCTTGCAACTCTTATAAATAGAGACGCTCAATGTGCTACGCAATTGTGCACCATGATGCTACAAAATCTATATGTATAAAATTTAAAAGAAATGATCAAAAAATGAATTAAGGAAGAGAGCTAAATTATGGTGGGAAGAAGAAGGGATGAACTCATGTATATATCTATGTAGATGATGGATATAAGTTGAAAAACTTTTGAGATTCCAATACCTTTTGAATTTCATTAATTTCAATTAAAGTAAAATCATAAATTGTTAGGAGTAAATATATGTAACTTTTCATATTCATAACTTTTATGTTTTTATTAATTAAAGTTATAAAAAATAAGAGATGACATTCTTAGTAAATAAAAAATCGATAAGTAGGTAGAACAGTCAAAAAATATTTTTCCAAGATGCTCATTTTTAATATAGTATAAATATTATAATATTATAAGAAAACATATTTTCACAAAAATGAGGTTTTAGTACAAAAAGTAGGGGTAGGATTTCTTAAAAAAAAATGTGGGGTGAAATTTGAACAAACCATCTTTTACTTTTGGTTGGAAATATGTATTTAAGTTAGTCTCGAGTTGGCAAATTTAGTTCAAAGCCGAACAAGGATTCAACCATCAATATAGCAATGGTTCTTTGAACATGGAAGATTCAATTAGCAACATAAATATAAAATCCACCCATCAATGACATCTACTCATCTATCCACAAGTGTTCAACTTAAAAAAAAAGAAAAAACAAGAGAAAAAAAACGTCTAGAGCCATTCCTAAACATAATTTTTTCCCTGTAAAAAAAAATCATAATTTTTATTTTTATTTTTTCAAATCAATTGTAATTATCTTCACGCCACAAAATAAATAAGAACCAAAGTAGAATGGAAGAAGAAAAACATTGACTGTGTCAACCATGGTGGGGGTAGGTAAGGATTCATGGTTGGTGAAAATTGGGGTTTCGGTCTTCAAATCGAAAGAACCGATTCTGACCACCGGAAATCGAACGCGTTGGGGAAGAAATCACAGAACTAAAACGAAGAAATGGAGTTCTACTGGAAAGCGATGGAACAGATCAGTTGGTACACCGGACTATCGCCGATGGCGTTCTTCACCATACTGGCTTCCATGATCTTCGTATTTCAAATGGTTTCCTCCATGTTTGTTTCTCCAGAAGAGTTCAGCAAGCCCCCCACTGTTCCGATCTCTTCGTCGAACCCGGCCAATTCGAATTTGTTTGTTAACGATGCGGTCGCAGACGCCTCGCAAGCTGTCCAAGTAGGGCGATTGACGGAGCAGCAGTTGAGGGCTTATGATGGATCGGATCCGAACAAGCCCCTTCTTATGGCTATCAAGGGTCAGATCTACGATGTATCTTCCGGCAGGTACTTGTTCTTTTCTCCGGAACGAACTCTGTTCTGTCTCTAGGGTTTATTTAAAACTTGCTCAAAGTTGAATCGGAACCGTTGCTTACTTTCATGAATTGCAGCTTTGAATTTGAAAGTTCTTAATTTTGGAAATTAATGCTTCTAGTTCTAGATGGAAAATTGCTTCTGTAAGCGTTAATTTTATCGTCTACTCATCAATCTCATGATCGGAGTTTAAGAACTGCAGAAAAGTAAAGACAACTGATTATGAATATGCGTTTGAATTTCCTGAACATGTCAGCTTTATTGTCTACTTTACGTCCAAGTTTCACTGATAATGCGTCAACAAAATACAAAATCGTAAGAATTTTTGCTAAGATATTTAAGAAGGTGAATTCTTTTGTAAAAGTGAGGTTAAGAAGGAAAGTTAGGCAGTGTGGGACTGGGTGCTGAAGTTGTTGCAGAAAGGAAGATTTAGAAATGTTAAGCTTCTTAAAGGGATGTTTGGCTCACCATTTCAATAAATTTGGGTTTATGAAGCCTGAGATTTAGAAATCTGAATTTTTATGCAAAGTAATAAGTTACAAAAATCTGGAATTATTTGTAAAATTTAGCAGAGATAACATAGAGTTTATGTAAAGGCGTTACGAGATGAGCAAACTCATAGCTTGAGATAAGCAAACTCACATCCAAAATATGAATTTTGTTTTCTAATATCGAGTGCAATTAGTGAGCCAAACACTCCCTTTGTAGCTCATACTTTTCATTGGTTAGTTGTTCTACTCTATATGAGCACATTGAGTGTCTTCTTTTTCCAATAGCGGGTGTCCAGGCCAAGAGAGTCTAACTTCATGGGTAGGTAACCACTATGATTCGAGTCGAGGGCCTGCCCACGGTGGCTAGTATAATTTTGTTTTGTCGGATGTAGTATATGATATTAAAGATGTATTTGGGAGTGTTTTTAGGATGACCAAAAACACTTCTCCCTCGAAATCCTCATCGTGGTTTGGGAGTACTGTAAAAGTGTTTTTGGAAAAAGTCAAGAAGAGTAAATAAAGGTGCTTTGTGAGGAAGCACATATGTAGTGTTTTTAGCCTAAAAGCTTGACTTAGAGACACTTCAAGAATACTCCTCATATTATAAAGACAACACCAAAGTGATTTGTTGTAAAGCTTTTATCAAAATACTTATTATTAAACTTTTACTACTTTGGTAAGACGACATTGATTTTTGGTTGGTCTGATGGTCAGGATGTTTTATGGTCCCGGTTCACCGTACGCCATGTTCACCGGGAAGGACGCCAGCAGAGCTTTGGCTCTCTTATCTTTCAGACCTGAAGACATTAATGGTAATATCGAAGGTCTGAGTGAAGAAGAACTTGTAATCTTGCAGGACTGGGAATATAAATTCATGGAAAAGTATATAAAAGTTGGGGAGCTTGTTCCAGAGGAGGGATTGAATGAGCATTCTGAAAATGAACACCCAAAGGTCGAAACTGGTCAGGAAGAACACATCGAAGCCCAATAAGAGACATCGTCATCGGCACCATCTTCACTCTTCATCTTTCGTTGGGCAGATGTTGGGAAGCTGCTGTTGAACATGCAAGTCCCTTGTTCCTTCTGATTTTGTGAAGATATGGTCTTCTCTAAAAGTACATACCAGGAAATTTGAGTAAAAGTGATCAATCTGAATGAAGCTAGAGATTCTGCCAGCGGCTAGATTTTTGCCTGATATGTAATATGTATTGTATATTATTTTGACCAATGTGGTTCAGCTCAAGTTTATCATGTAAGTAACAAGGCAATAACTTTTTCCTTGCAATTATATTCTTAAACAAACAACGATGAATAAATAGAGATTTTATGGAAGACAACGTTGGAATACTCTAAAAGAGAGTAGTAGATATGGAGGGTCACGCTTCTTCGAGAACGGGTTTTCCCTCAATTTGAAAGCAGGTCCAACTCTAAAGTAGATCGCCGATTGAAGAGCCTGGTCAATCAGTACTTCTATTGACGAGCAAGTATGATATTGGATTCTCACTTAATCAAGTTATATGTATACACTATTGATGAGCATGTATATATATATATTCTAACTCAACACTTGTGTTGTGTTTCAAACTACTATTGATGAGCATGTATATATATATATATTCTAACTCAACACTTGTGTTGTGTTTCAACCTATATAGTTTGAAGTTAAATCAACTACAATTCAGTATTAATTGACCTATATCTCTAATCAAGAGGGTGTAAATTCGATCTTTCATACCACATGTTTGTACTAAATAAAAATAACATCTATATAGTTTGAATATGTATTCATATTAACGCATAGTATTTATATTGAAAGTCATGTTATTAATTTGTTAAATCAAAATAAAAGTAAATACTAAAATGATTAGTTTTTTTTTTAAGTTGATGGATCAAATTAGACCTTTTAAAAATTTAGAGATCAAAATAGAATAAACGTGAAAGTTAATGGATTAAAATTAGTTTAATAACGAAAAATAAGATAATCTTTATACTTCCAAGACCACCACAAGATTAAAGAAAAAATCTAAAGAAAAACATTTTAAATCACACCCAATTTTCTTTTTATTCCAAACAAAATAAAAAGTATTCTTTTTTTTTCTTTTCTAAATTTTCAAATAATGTATCTAAAATAATTTCTCATGTCTTTTACATCAAAATTAAAAAGAAGAAAACAAAATAACTATAGATAAGAAATTTAAAAATAGTGTAAATAACCCAACGCCAGATTTCTCGCCATGTACTCTTTCCCTTCAGCTGCAAAATAAGAATTAGTTGCCGACTCCGGCGACATAAATCCCGAGATCGTTTTCCGATCCCATACCCATTCCTTCTAAATCTACTCCGCCGCGCCGTTCCGGTGAAGAAGACGATCAAAGACACGCTAGGAATCCATCTGCTACCTTGCTCCACAGGTTCGTACGCGCTGTCAATTATCTCGCTGCAAATTTTTATGTTCACTCTTTATGAATTATGCTTTCCGAACGATATCCTGAATTCCGAAACCCTAATGGAAGTGCTTAGTGTAATGTTACCTTACTTTGAAGGTTTGGTAGCGACTTTTTAGCGTCTCTTGTTTCAGTAATCGTATTTCTTGTTGAGCTCCTGAATCTCTTTAGCTACTCTTTTTTCCCCCAATTTGTTCCTAAGTATGCTTATGCTGCGTGAACTTTTACATCTTCTTTAATTTGACAATTTGATTTTAATTGAGACATTTTTTTTCTCCATTTAAGTTGCTCAAAATAAACTAGCATTCATAGCAACGAATGAAATGTGAAAAATGATTATTGGTTAAATTATAAGTTTAGTCCATTAACACTTGGGATCGTGTATAATCCCTGACATATTTGATATTTCCAAAAAATTCATGGGTTTATTAGTTACAATATGATATTTTGAAAAATTCATAGATTTATTAGATACAAAATTGAGAGATTTATTAGACACTTCTTAGAGTTTAAGGATTTATTAAACATAATTCGAGGACTAAACTTGTAATGTAACCACAATTTTTAAAACTTTAAACAAAATGTGAAAGATGAGTTAATAGATGAAGGTGCAAAATGTAAAAGATATGTTAAAGTGAGGGCACCAAAATAAAGGTTTTACGAATTGCATTTTCATGATCATCAGTAAAGCTGCAGGTTTGAAAAACCATTGGAGGAAAGACGTTATTTATCAGCTAAAGATGGTTGGCCGAAGTAGTTACGTCCCTCCTGCATATGTTCCAATAGGACAGTCTGATTCAGAAGCAGGAATTATATCCAGCAATGAGGGCCATGCTGCACCTATTGAATCTAAGGATGGATTGACACAATGGTCATCTGGAATCTGTGCATGCTTCGATGATACGCAGAGCTGTACGCTACTTTCTGCCTTCTGAGCTTGATTTATGCCAAGGAAATTATGAAGGTGCATCTTGAGTGTGGAAAGAAAATGCCTCATTACTTTGCATGTGTTCTTATAGCAAAATGTTGAATAATTCCATTCAACGTAGGCTAGTAGGGAATCTTTCATACCCTGTTGTGAAATATAAGCTTGCTCTATCATTTACTTTTTTGAGTTTTTTAAGAACTTTGTTAGAAACTATGTTGTTGTGAACCAACTTCTTTGAAGCCAAAGCACTGGATTTTGCACTATGATTAGGTTTACTAAAGGAAATCTGATCAGCCCAACATGTTGGGAGCTTAAAGAACTTTGAATTCAGTTAAAAAGGGGTTAAGAAATCCTTAATATCTACCTTCTTTGGGGGTTACATATTCCTTTAGTTGTATAGCTATTACATGTTTTATGATTAATTAGAGTTCCTTTAATAATTGAGAAGTGCGCATAAAGATTCACTGATTGTATTTAAAATAAATCAGGACACTTGACCAAATTTTATTGAGTTGGTTGAAAGGAACTTTATTATTATTGAAAATAATGTGATTTGAGTTGAAGAGTATTGCATTTCTATTGGTCCATCTCTAGCATGTTAAATGGGGAGCTCACTGCAAAATTTTCTGGGTGCAGGTTTTATTGGCCTTTTTTGTCCATGCTTTCTGTTTGGAAAGAATGCAGAGGTTTTGGGTTCTCGAACAATGTTTGGGTCATGCGCAACTCATTTCATTTTGTGGGCACTTACGAATGCAGTCTGCTGCTTATTGACTGATGGAGTTTTGTGGAATGTACCTGGATGCTTTGTTGCATGTTATGCTTGTGGCTACCGCAAGGAACTCCGGTCGAAGTACAATTTGCCAGTATAATATCTTACTCAGTACTTTTTCATGGCTTATTATCATTATGTTTCTACTATCTATCTGTTCATGGTTTTGCAAGCATAAGTTATTTACACTTATATATATCATGTGCAGCATTTAGGTTGATGTTATGTATTGATTCATTCTCCAGAATCTAGAAATTGACATCTTGTCGTGTCATATCTGTGTTCACGTCCCCTGTCTAGTGTCTATATTCGTGCTTCTTAGCTGCTGATATATGCCTTCAACCTTGCCTAAGAGAAGTCAAAATATTAAGCAGCCTTTTTCTTTAGGTTTATCTCTGCTCAAGGCAGAGAATTGGCTCTCGTGCCATTATCCCTGCCATATAATGTAGGCCAGATCGCTACGTGCCCATTTGATAACATTCATGTTTCTTCATTTTTAATAAGACTAGCAACCTGACAGTCCTAAGCAACCTGGATGGCTTCAACATCCAAGAATTCAGTATGATAAAACAATATTTTTATTTATGTTTTAGAACAAATTAGTCGTTGAGTTAACTTAGCGATTACTATGTTCCCATGAACCACACCTTTTAACTTACTGAAACGTGATGCAGGAAGCACCTTGTGGAGACTTCGTTACTCACTTCTTCTGCCATTTATGTGCTATCTGTCAAGAATATAGGGAGATCCGTGAAAGAGCTGGTGGATCTGGTTCCCATGATTTGAATCTGGCTGTTGTTACCCCACCAACAACTCAGACGATGGAACCTAACCAGGAAAAATAGTTTGGCCATTGCTGGTGCTACCGAGTAATACCGGTAATTTATCAGACTGCTCGCTTAGCACAGAGTTCCTTCTTTCCCTCTTATTCTTATGGGATTTATTCCTTCTATCTCCCTCTCCCTTTTTGTTGTGATTGGAGTAGACTTTCCTCTTTTTCAATTTTCATACAGGAAGTAGGTAGAAAGGGAGACAATATTCCTGTTGTTTCAATTTCTCCTGAACAGTTAAAGCTTCTTTAAATTAAAACCCTCTGGCCATCTTTTGTCTAGTTTAATGGTATTGTGTCTGTTGATATAATTACTGTCAGTTATAGTGTTAGAGAATCAGTTCTAATAGTGTTTGATTAATTTATGTTTTTGAAACAATTTTTTAGCATGGATACAAGAGTTGTTATAATGTTTGGTAAATTGGTATTTAATTATGTAGATTTTACTTCTTGTTGATGTTGAAGAACATGGAAAAACAAGGGTTATGATGTTGGTCTTTAAATTCATTATTTATAAATATGGTTGATCTTTCGTTTTGGAGGAGGGTCAAAGTCAAAAGCAAACGGTAATATTTTCAGATATGTGTTTGGTAGCAGATTTGGTAATTGAATCTCGATTTAAAAATATATTGGTAAACTAGAAGTAGTTATAAAATTTTTTAATCTAAACTTATATTAATTAATTAATTAATTAACATTTTTTATAAATTTTGTATAATTATTATTTTACAAGGTTATATAATTTAGAATACATTATATTTTACATGTTTTAATTTTAACAAACATAAACATAAAATGAGTTTATAATATGAAGTAATATATTTATCAAAATTTTTATCATTTTTAATGTAATTCTGTATTTTAAAATTTTAAAATTTTGAATTTGAAAATGCAGAAATAGTTTTAAACAAATAATCAAAACAAAAAAATAGAATGCGAGTTTATCGGCAAATTAAGTTCTTTTATTTATAATTCTCATTTCCATTTTTTTTTCCAAAACTTAAATAAAAGCATTATTTCATAATTTTCAATCTTTAAAATACATAATAATTATAACATAAAAATTATAATTTAATGTAAAGTGTTTACTTTATTTAATTTAAAATTTTAGATAACAAAAGTCGTAACCAAACATGTTTTTATTTCGTCTTTCAATAGAAAAGGAAAAATATAAAACAAGAAATAATTATTAAATGTAGTTTTGTTTTTGTCTAATTGAAAAACGAAAAATAAAAAGGGAAAAAAGAACGGAAACGTTATCGAATGAACTCCTTCCTAATTTCCATGATATCACTTATGAAAGGAAGAAAAGCGAAAAAGGATATATTAGAGGGACAGAGGGACAATCGAATCAATGTTCATTTTAAAATGGAATGGATTTTATTAAAAGCTAACTACCCATGTTAAAAATCTTTAGGCTTTAAATCTTTCAAATGGTTCAAATGATCTAAAAGATTGTAATTAAGGTATCGTTTAATAACTATTTTAGTTTTTAATTTTATGTTTTTGAAAATTTTATTTATTTGCTTATGATTTATTTATGTTTTCATCCCGGTGAACTGTTAGCAAAATTTAAAAAACAAAAGCAATTTTTGAAAATTATTCTTTTTAGTTTTCAAAATTTTGCTTAGATAACAGAAAATAAAATGAGGCTTTTTAAGTGTTAAAAGTTTGATTAAAAAAAATATTTGGTTTCTATACTTTCATTAAAATAACAATTTAGTCCCTGAATTTTAATTTGTAACGATTTAGTCCCTATACTTTCAAATTGGTAACAATTTAATCCTTGAATTTTAATATGTAACAATTTAGTCACTGTAATTTAATGTTGGTAACGATTTAGTCTTTATGGTGAAATTTCTTTGTTAAATTTCTTATATATATAGATGAATAAACTATAGAGGGACCAACCATGTTTATAAATTATAAAGATTAAATTGTTATATTATAAAATTTGACACTTAATTTTAATAAAATTTTTTACGATAGGGACTAAATTGTTACAAATTTTAAACTACAAAGACTAAATCGTTACAAGCTAAAGTTCATGGACTAAATTGTTACTTTAGTAGAAGTACATGGACTAAATCGTTACAAACTAAAGTTCAAGGACTAAATTGTTACTTTAGTGAAAATACAGGGACCAAACGTGTTTTTTAACCTTAAACTTTCTAAAAGTTCCGGTCAAAAGGCTTAACCACGAGAGAGTAAAAATGCACCGGAAGATATATGATTTTAAAAGTTTCAATTTATATCTATAATTTGAGTTTAGTTTTAATGTGATCACTATACTTTTACAAGTTTCGATTTGATCTCCATGGTTTGACTAACGTTAAACCTCAAAAATTATCTTTATTGTTACAAATAGTTACCATATTAAATACATAGTATATTATTCTTTTATTTATGTGGTAATGAGTTCGTGTTTTCTTTTTAACTTAGCTTTGTTAGCTTATTATATAATAGTTATTATATTATAGTTCAAGGCTAAGTGAAAAATTGGAAAAAAAAAATAGTCGGCTTTCAAGAAGATAAAAAACGATTTCTTTACGATTTGTGAGGTTGAACCAAATCATAGAGACTAATTAAAGTTAAAAAAAGAAATTATAGAGACTAAATTGAAACTAAGTTCAAATGGTAGGAACTAAATTGAAATTTTTTTAATTATAAGAACAAAAAATTAACGCTAGGTGCAAATATTACGGATCATATTGGTACTAGACCTAGGTTAAAATACTATTTTGGTCCATCTACTTTCAATTTTGGTTCATTACAATTCATAAACTTCAAATAATTCATTTCAATCCATCCTACTTTCACCTTTGGTCTATTTTAGTACATTCAAAGTGTTGTTTTGGTTATATTACTTTTAAAAAGTAACCATTTTGGTCGGTCCATATTCATTAAATTTTAACATAAATTCTACACATGACATAAACATTTTAATATAAAATCATGATTACATCTCAAGAAATACATTGAATATGTTGTCGTGTTGAAACTTGAAATTATGATAGAATAAAATGAGATTAAAATAAAAATTAAAGAACCAAATTGATCCCTTTTTAAGAATACAGAAATCAAACAAACATTTTGAAAGTACCTCAACTAAAATTATAAGTATCAAAATAAATATTTTGAAAGTGTATAAATAAAAAATAAATCAAAATTGAGAGTACGGGCCAACAACCATAATATTTTAACCCTAAACCTAAACGAGAGGAAGTTCGTGCCCATGTGTCATGTTGGTGGCCACGTGGGTGGGTCTCGTAGTGATATATAATTCTAAATTCTTGAACATATTTTAATATTATATCTTTTTCTGTTTTTTTCTGGAGGATACAATATTTTTTTCCCCCGCAAAAGGTGGATACGATATTATATGTTTCTTCACTTAACGGTAGTCCATTAATTTTGAACAATTATTGGCTCTCAAAAAAAAAAAAATATATANAATAAACTTATTTTAGACTGTTCTCAAAAATCAATTAGATTAGATGGAGCATCTACAAAAAAAAAACGTTAAATATATTATTTGGTCTTTGAAATATAATAACTAAAAAAAATTAATCAGAATTTCCAATTTAAAAAACTTCAATAACATCGTCTAAATTAAATAACAAGATTGGATACTCATATTTTATATATTTATCTTATATTTTATTAATTATTATGTTTAAATATTTGAAAATTTAATTACATGACATATTTAAAATATTCAAAAAATAATAATTTTAAAGTAGAATTTTAGAGGTAATGTAGACTTCACATGGAGAAATCAACCGATGGAGTGTAGACATATTTGTTGGCGGGAGGTTCCAAATAAAAAATTATGAATTTTGAGATATTTTATAAATAAGGAGATGTATCAAATTGAGAAATATGATATAAATTTCTCAAATTGATTAAAATAGGATTTCCCAGTAAATTAAGGATTGATAATTCCTCCGCCAAGGAGGATAAAATTAATCTCTATAAAAATAAAATCTTCTTGGAAAATCGATCATCTCACACCAGACAAAAATCTCTCATCTTCAAAGTTAAAGTATTATTCCTCTACCATAAGCGGCTAGGATTCGGTTCTTCCAATTCAAGGGTAATTGAAGTCCAACTGCTTGGAAGACTCAGGTTAGATATAGATTTTTTTATTTATTTATTTTCAAGTATTATTTGTTTCTTGTTTTTGTTGTTTATGAACAATTGATTTTAATTAAATGGACGACTTAATTCATATTATTGTTCTATTGCTACCCATGAATTTGCCATATGTAATTATCGATTGAATTAAGTAGTATGGAGTTAGCTTGTGTATGTATTTATGGTTTTTCCATGATAAATACTCTGTATAATAGACTCGGAAATAAAGAAACAAAATTAATTAATGTGTAGATATCTCAAATTAATTGGTTTCGATTTAGTTCTCGTTGTTTTTAATGATATTATTTGATGGATGAAACCCTATCGTGACTAGTTGATTAATTAATAAGATTTAATTTTGATACTTGATCTAAGTCGATTAAATTAGAAGAATTAGAATTTACCACTGCTGTTCCAAATAGGTAGACTAAGATCTTGAATTGGTAAATTGATTTTTGTGTAAAGCCTTTGATTAAGATTGCAATGAGATAAAACGTTTGGATGAGAAGTTTGGTTCAATCTTTAGTTTTCAAAATTTAAAACATCATTTTATTAAGCTTTGAGAAATTATTAATTTAATCGGTTTCATTTGAATTCGACATGGTCTCAAGATTTAGTAAAATCAATAATTATTAATTATTTTGGAGGGCCTTGACAACCCTTACCAACGTGACATTTACAAATATCATTTTATACACGAATGGTTACTAAATTTCAGTTTATACTCCAATAATTTTATATTAAATATCCATCACACTTATACTTAATTTGAAAATAAAATAATAAAAGTTAACATGAACTCTTTGCTCCTATCTAGAAGTTTGAAATTATAGGATTTTTAATTTTGATTTAACAAGTTTTTATTCAATACCATTAATCTAACTATTTAGATATTGATATGACTTAAATCTAAGCATAGTTAAGTTATATTTTTTATACCAAAAAATAGAGCTTTGAATTCGCATCTAAACTAAAAAAGATGACGTAGACGAAAAAATTACGAAATACTTTATACATAAAATATCACATCACCATTTAGTTACCACGTAACAAAATTCTCTCAAAATTCAAATATTGAAATTATAATTGAACTAAAATTAAAATATTTTACTGTTAAAAAAAAATATTCTTCATAAAACACTTATAAATTCCCATAATTTCATGCATTCATTTTATTTCTATCATTTCAAAAGGATAAAAATGGAAATTAATTATGTACCAAACAAAACCTTAATCATCCAGTCTCTTCTTAGAAGTGTTCATATAATTTAGTTTAAAGAAAGTTTTAATTCAAAGATTCAGAAAATACTTGAGAGAGAGAATTCGAGAACTGAAACGGTTGAATTGACAACAATATAGCGAGAAACTTGTGGAAAAAGTTTCAGAGAATCGAGATACGGTGTTCCAATGGCGCCATACAGAGGTAGGTGAAGGTGAAATCAACTTTATTTGTACTTTTATGGGGCTCACAGGTATGAACATGGCAAACAATATGTATATATATGTATAGATGAAGTGGCGGATGGATTCAACAGCCACTTGTCGTGCAGTGTTTTGCATTTTGAGAGAGAGAGAGAGAATGATCGTTTCGGAAATCGGAACCTAGAAATCTAATAGCAATGGTTTTGATTAGGGAGTTTTCTTTCACGAGGAGCTCCAGGGAAATGGAGTATTTACATTTTTAAACTCGAGAGTTGGCTCATTTTCTTATGTCGTTTTCATCACTCGCGCATCTCTCTTATTTGGTTAGCGCTCTTCTTCGTCGTCGTCTTCTTTCGTTAGGAAGAAATGAACCATTTATTCGACTGTTTCAGCGCGACATGATTGTTAGTTGTATCTGGCGTAAATCTTTAATTTCATATGGAGTCTGGCGATGTTGAATGATTCTGCATTATGTATATATATATTGCAATGTGTGTCCATTTGCTTTGTATTTCCATCTGTTTTTGTCCCCTGCTTGATCTTGTTGTAGGAAGGCGGAAAAAGTTTTAATGTTAGGAAAAATGCGAGTGTTTATTTTATTTGCTCCCCATCACTACTGTTCAGTTCAATCTCTTTCACATATATTTTTGGTGCAACCCTGTTCTGCATTTCTTTTTATATAAGAACTCTGAAATCTCTCGGCTAACTGGGGCTTGAAAATATTCAGAACAATAAAAAACTGAGTCTCTTTATATTATCTTTTGTCCTTCTTGTGTTATTCTGATGATTATATTTCACTCACTCTCTCTCTCTCTCTCTCAAACTCTCTTTTGCTCAGATTGAAGTCATATACTAGTCGGAAGCAAATGGGACTATTTCAAACCTCAAATCCCATTTGCCCAAGAAACCAGCATTGTTCGGAATGGGCAGAAAAGAATATGAAATACTGCCTTTGCAGTGCGAAGGATGGAGTTTCGCTCACTCTGGGAATAATTAGTGTTGTCAGTTGGGGTGTAGCTGAGATACCCCAAATCGTTACGAACTACAGGGAAAAATCTTCCGAGGGTCTGTCTGTTGCTTTCTTGCTAACATGGATATTGGGGTATTTCCTCTTTTCCTTCTCTTTGATTTTTGGCTTGCTTTGGTTACTTTTACATTTCAGTAATGTAGCGTCCTTAAATGAATTGATAGTACTTCTGAAAGTGAAGACTCCCAATTTGAATAACATATCTTATCTTAGTGTATTTTTCATTGGAATCTTGTTTGATTTTAGCGTGATTGGCTGTTACCAAATAGAAGTTGTATCTAGTGTATAGAACTGTGATTTTTGTTATTCTTGCTGCCTATGATGCTGTTGAAAACCGCTTGTTACACTTGAGCGGAAGTCTTATTAAAACCATTTTACCTTTTGGTTATAAAACAAAAGGTTTACTGTGTATGTGTGTGGTTTTTCTTTTTTGATAATTGGCGTGTATTGGGCTCCACTCCGTATATCTATGCTTATGGCCTTTCTCTTCCAATTATGGGGAGGCTTGGAGACAAAAAATAGTTTTGAAGTTTTATAGACTGGAACTTATTGAACTCACGACTTTGGAGAGTATGTTCAAACATCCATGCCTTTGACACCCGTTGTGATCTATTTTTGAACTCCATTTCCATATAACTCCCTCCTGAAGGATTTCAAGAATCTTAAATTTCTCTTTCTAGGACTTTGTAATTTCTGCAAAATTTGAGGACGGTTTCAAGAATCAAGTTTCTCTTTTCTCATTAAACTTCACAGCTTTTACATAAATAACTATACATCTGAGTTGTCATACTGGTTGATTGGATAGATTTACTAATTCTGACTTGAGCTCATGTCCAATGGCACTCTTAAGCCAATGGAATCCCCTCCTTCCCTCCTCCCTGCACCCAGAAATAAGTGGTGACTATTTTATCTGCTTGGAGTGTTATAGTTTAGAACTTGGTGAACTCTTTTTAAAGTTTATTTATTTAGTGATTCCGATTGTATGATTACATACCTACAAAAAGATTGTTGGATTGCTTCAACTGTGATATGGAATATTAGCGAGATCTTTGAGGATGAATTTACGAATATAAGCCGGTAAATGGCCAATCAACATGACATGATATGAGGTTTGAGTTGTTTTTTCTTGAATTGAATGACACTATTACATATTACTCTGCTAATTTACTTTTACTTTTAAAGTTGCCAAGGCAGAAAGCAGAGTTTAGTCATTTCTACATTAAGAATTCCTTCCTTCCTATTTGCCAGTGGAATTTTAGACTATTTACAATTTTCTTTTTGCAGAGATTTTTTCAATGTCTTTGGCTGCATACTCGAACCAGCAACAGTAAGTGGTTCTCTTAAATCTTAAAAGTTAAAAAATGAAATACAACTTTTCATTGGCAAATTCCAACAAGATAAGTCCATATTACTATATATGTAATCGTATATGCAAGCAAATAAAGTAAACCACATTTCTCATGGTTATCAAGCCAAAGTTAAATGTGTTCCTTGGCATGTTTGCATAACTCGATGAAGTTATGTGGCTTGCACTCAACCAAGTTGTAATAGCTAGCTGAAGCTGTGAATAAGGATCATTTCTTATAGCTTTTTCCTATTCTTTAAACAAGCTTTTTTGAGAGATTTATTTTGTTAAGTTTTCCTACAAGTTTACTTTTTTAAACCTTCTCTGATTTCTTATGCAGCTTCCAACTCAATACTACATGGCATTGGTACGTTCTAAGGTTTTGAAATAATTTTCCAACTCTTTTTTCATCCAAGTATTGTATACCTCATTTTTTCTCCTGAATGGTGGGTATCATTATCATGCTGGTATACAGTTGTATACGATCACCACAGGGATTCTGGCTGCACAGACCATATACTATGGCCATATATATCCTCAGCTGAAGTATCGTCGAAGGCAGTGCAAGGTTATATATTCTCTTTCCTGTTTATCACTTGTTGCTTGTCTACACATACATATAAATTATTATGCATGTCTTTATTATTTTTTTTTTATAAGAAACAATTTCACTGATGATATGAAATTACAAAAGAATGGGGTAAATATTTATTTATTATGTGGTAAAGAATGGGGTAAATATTTTGTATTTCCATCTCAGTGTCTGATGTCTGAACATTGAAATGTGATGATATTTTAATTAAGTGTTTTTAGTTCTCCTTTAGGCTGTAGTGTACTATGTTACTAAATAATCGTCAAAAACTATTAGGCGCAGCATAGTTAAAGCTCTTTCTATGAAGACGAATTTTATTTGTTTACCATACTGCTATTTGTGAATCTACTGCATGTCTTAGGTTCTTATTCATAGTAGTGATGCCCATGCACAGACTGATGCACGTGATAGAGCCCAACAAAGCTATGGCAGTGTTAATGTGAAGCACAATGATGATGACAAGGGCAACAAGTTAAATGCTTCAGTAAGAGAGAGTGTTTCCACCAGTCCTATTCCTCTTCCAATGCTTCCGCGAAATAATTCCATGGGAAGAGAGCTATACTACATGTAAATATTCTCTCTTTTTGATTCTCTAGCTTCCTGCTTTAGACCTTTATCACGACCAAAATTGCAATTATATGATATTAATGTTTGTAAATAATCAGGTCAGCGAGATCTCTATCAAGGAGTCATACTCCGGCAGCAGGGTCTTTCTTAACACAAAGAATGACTCCTAATTCTTCTTTTGGTCAGAACCCTATGCAAGAGCCCCTGCTTGATGGAAATCAACCATCACCACCTTCAACACCTCCCAATGTCAAGAGCATGCTATGTCTGGTAAGCTTTATACGTCTTAGCCCAAGTGTCCATCACATATACTTACAGGTAATTATAGTTTTAATTTTCATCATCAGGTCTCCGTGTTGACTTTCCTCGGCACACTCAATCTCCATCAATCTGCAGAAAACAGATTTCACAGCATATCTGACCATCCAAATAAAGGATTTGTCATACCAGTAGGAAGAAAGCTCTTACAGGTAGCCCAAAATGAACTTAGTTTTCTACGTGTGTTGATTGGACCCAGCAGATAATTTTAGGGACCAGGAGTTTGCATAAAAACTACTATATAACCAATTCAACGGTCAAGAAGCTGATCTTCATATTTTCCTTTTTGTATACCTTACTAGTATGAGGGAGCTACATTTATGATATGCATTTCATATTCTACTTTTGCATCCGTTTGCAAGGAAGTTAAGGCAATTCTGAATATTTGATATTTTAGTGGAGGTATAAAATCATTGACTGCTGTTGAAATTCCAGGTTGCTGGTGAGCTGTTGCAAAACAATGGTAACGAAGGAAGCAGTGGAATTGGAACTTACCTTGGTTGGGCAATGGCAGTGATATACATGGGTGGACGACTTCCTCAAATTTTCTTGAATGTGAGATTTGCTTTTCCAAGCACGAGTCATTCTATTGATGGAGAACTTACGGTCCTAGAAATTTCTTCTCATAAATAGTGTGGTCATAGAGACAGTTGACTTTATATAAATCCTAGTCTATACATGGCTCTGTTTGCAGTTTGCACCAGAAAATTAAAAAGTTGCATATATGCCACCTTTTGGTGTGAGATTTGAATATTTAATCCCTAACCTATTTTTCTCAATTTTTAATTAGCATGCATATGGTTTATTATTATTATTATTATTATTATTTTTGGTCCAAATAATAAGAATTGAATCTATATGGTTATATAAGGTATTGACTCTTGGTTGTTGGTTAACTTTTGCAGATAAGAAGGGGCCATGTTGAGGTGAAGATAATTATTGTGCAATTAGTTTATATTTGCTTCATCCTTTACAAATTTAAATGAGTTGAATTCATTTAGAGGATGGTTGATAATGCAGCAGCATGGGAGTTGAATTCATTAAAACTTTTCAATTAATTTGCAGGGTCTTAGTCCATTAATGTTCATATTTGCTTTAATTGGAAACTCCACTTATGTAGCAAGGTGAGTATGGCCCATCCTTATGTTTTCTGCCTCCTAGCTTATATTTATCCAAAGTTTCTTTGAGAATCATATAGTTTGTGAACTGGAATCATAATTATGGCCTATTTTCTATTTTGTGGAGATATTGGAATTGATTCATAACAATGTGTTCGTATTTTATATTATCAATTTTTTTGTAGTATACTTGTAAGCAGTACAAGTTGGTCAAAAATCAGACCGAATCTCCCGTGGCTTGTGGATGCATGTGGATGTGTGTTTCTCGACACTTTTGTATCCTCATTATCAATACACGACACATTCTTGGAAGATATACCGTATTTTAGAAATTGTTTTTGCATTTCTTGAACAGGCCGAACCTTGTCAACACTTCTCTTTTATGACCTTCAGTTGTTTGACTCTACAAATTTTTGCTATCAGAAAAACTAGTAACCTTAACTTCTTCAGATACTAATACAATTCATCTATTTCAACTCCCGGATACATCGAGATGAAGATGATAAGCTTGTGCCTCCCACCAGTGAAGCTTAGGATTCCCTGACAAGGAAATGATATTATTGCTAAGATATGGTATGGCCTCACTCTTTCTTGGCCACATTGATTTTGTTCAAGTACATACATCTTATTTGGTGCATTTATTTTTCAAATGTAAGATACTAACAATAACAATACGAAGTAGAGAAGTATGAAATATAAATATTAATAACAACTAACAAGAACTTGAAAAGGATGAATGGAAGTCCATTATGTTTGCATATACCCTCTGCTGATCTCTGTTTCTCGACGTGAATTTTTTCTGCCACGAGCCCTTTCGACAAACAGTAACTTCTTCCTGCTCAAAATTTAGTAGAACGGAAGTGAGGCTGACTCCATCTTTTAACACACAAACACATAGATTGAGATATTGCTAAATGGAAAATTCACAAAGCCAATATCTAGTTGAATGATAGCTTGGTAGAAGGATTATAGTTAGAATGATTACTTTATGTGAAATCAACTGTTTGCCAAAAAGGTTTTTTTCTTTTCTTTTCTTTTTTTTTTGAGAGATCGATGTTGTATAATGGAAATTTTGCATCATCTAGACCAGGAACTGAAAATGAAAGACATATTTTTCCTTCTTGTTTATATATTGTTCTATGCTAGTAGTTTCTACAGTTCATTTTTGAACCAGGGTTTTGAATTATTTGTCAAATATGTTTGGATGATCACTGGCAATGGTTATGTTGTAGGTAATTCGTCTACGGCCCCAGTTGAAGCTCCAATGCACGTGAAAATTGATTAGTTTTCATGGCCTCCTCTGCGCAATTACACGTAAGCTGGCCCGAGCACATTAAGAGAGAGCTATACTAGTTCTTAACTTTGTCGTTCTAATAGTCACAGTTTGGAACATACAAACATCTTCTTTCACACATTTTATTTTGGTAGAATTTTTTTCTTGATTACTCAAAGTTTATCAGTTTATGTCTTTTCCAAACTTAACATCACAAATTTGAACTCTTCTTAAAGCTTGATGGAAAACATTTAATCAGTACACAACCAAATATCAAAATATTTTTTGTACTAATTAATTTTCCTCTTAAAACTGCTTGCAACTAAAGTTTAAATTTGACTAAAATTTTGCTTAAGACTAAAGTATTTTTTCTAGAAACATTTATTTCTCTACTTACCATTAATCTATATATAGAATTACAAAAGACTTTCACCTGATAATTCTTTTAAATATTTTTATAGTTCTCAAAATTACCTTTTGATTATGTAACAAATACCATTGAAATTTTTGAAAAAGTATTTTCTAATTAGCTAAAAATATTTAAAATAAGTTCAGAGCGAATACAAAATAATTGATGCCTCAAGTCAGAATGTTGTGTTGATGCCTGTTCTTTTTGCAATTAAACCGTCGTCTACTGCAACGCAAGCTTCTATAGAGAAGCCTAAAGAATGAGTATTATTTAGATTAATATATTGTTAGGTCAATCAATCAAAATGTCATGAAAAACAATGATATATTTTTGTCTTTTTTATGACTTGGGTGGGAGCTTTTGCTCCCCTATACGTAGGGGCAACCATGTTCGGCCCAAGGCATGATCCTGGAAACATGAAAAACAATGATATAGCAAGTTTTTCCATAAATCTAAATCTAAAAAATATTGGTTGAAAAGATATTTTTCGATACGTTCAAGGTTGCTCATTAGAACATAATTTAATTACTTGAGGTAACTATAATCTTCTTAAAGGTCTAAAAGAATTGGCTCAAAGTTCGATCTAAGATATCAAAGGACAAAAGAATAAGTTTATCTTGTAAAGAACCTCTTTATGACATTTTTTCTAATTATATGAAAAATTTTAAGGCTTAATAATTTATTATTTATAAAGGGTTACCAACTATTACTTGTAATTGTTAAGTTACATATATCACTTGAAAAGAAAACTAGTTTTTACCTATCAAATTAACCAAGTATATCAATTTTCACCCTAAAGTTTCCATTTACTAGAGAAAATGAAGAGATTTTTATTTTTTCTAAGATTTTTTGCCACCAATTAGCTTTTTATAGATGAATTGGGCTTGGGAACAAGAGATTAAAGACCTTGGACAAGAAGTAAATAATAGACATCTGTTATAAAATTGAGCAACAAAATTAAATATTTAAAGTTACGAAATTAGAAACAAAACAGAACACAACTAAGTAGAAAAGATGATGTGAAGAAAGAGATTGAATTTTGCTTGATTTATTTATTTCTTATTTATTTTACACCTCTCCATTGCTTTCCCTGGATGGACTTTTATAGAAATTGTGTGCAACAATGTGTGTTGGAATGCATGGGTAACAAATATGTGTGTGGATAGGCAACACATTTCAATGTGTAGGTATGGACACCAAGTTTTGGACTTTGGTCAATGGGCATCTAATTAAATTAGTTTTATAATACTCCCCTTAAATGCTTATGATATATGCCCGTTAAAACCTTACTAACAAAAAATCTAATGGGAAAAAATTCTAGTAAAGGAAAAAGAGTACATATTTCATATAATTTAAAAAAAAAACAAAAAAATAAGACAACATATTTTCTCCCCCTCATAGAAACATCAGTTGAGATTTCTGAGTCGCGGCATTCCAATGTTGTGTACCAATTTTTCAAATGTTGCTGTAGAAAATGCTTTTGTAAATAAGTATGCCAGATTATCTTCTAAAAAAATTTGTTGTGTGGTGACGTCGTTATTTTCTTCCAGATCATGAGTGTAGAAAAACTTTGGTGAAATATGCTTTGTTTTATCCATTTTCATATATCATCATTTGATTTGAGCTATACATGCTGTGTTGTCTTCGTATAATATCGTTGGAAGATGTTGACTAGAAGAGAAGCCACATGTTCCACGAATGTGCTGAGTCATTGCTAACTTGGTGAAGATATTGTTTTGATTCAAAATGATTTAGTCTAAAAATAATTCCGGTAAGCTGTGACTACTTTAATTGAAGCCTAAAGGATGGATTCTCACAAGAGACCTTACCTCACAATCCAAACACTTAGAACCACTCATGCAAAGTAGAAGACGTACGATTTTTCATCATTTATTGAGACAACTTATCAATGAAAACTTAGATAAGAAACATCTCGTGCAAGACACAAATTCAGTTCTCTTACTGTACTACATTTACTTTAGTAATATGTTTTCCACTTAAGTAATTTATTCTTTTTTATAAACCTAGGAATGAAAGAGGAACCCTCAAGAACTCTATAGAGTATAAAGTGGGGAGAACATAAAGAGATTCTGACTTGAATTTTTTTTAGATGAATTGCCAATAGAATAAAAGATGAGCAAAGAACACAAAATATTTACAATTGGGAAGAAATTGTGGAGAATTCAACTTGAATTTTTCCTTGATTTTCTTTACTTGGATCTATTTCACGTGTTCTTCCTTATATTTTCATGTACCACCAACTGCCTTTATTTATATGCCATTTTGAAATTGGGCAATACTCTATGGAGTGCTTGTTACTAGGGTTGGGATACAATATCACTCTTATTTTCTTAAAATTCGTGCTAGCATCATAAGAAAGTTTATAACAATCGAACATAATTAGCATATTCTAACAAATGATGAATCCATTATCATGTTTACTTCATATCATTACCGCATCTAAATTTGTACAAAATAAGCATGTCATTAACATATAACCAGATAATATAATTACTATCAGCTCCAAACAACTTTGGAAAAACATAAAGTATTTTAGGAGTTTATTTAATACTACAAAGAGAATTTTAAAGCTTGCGTACCTTATTCTCTTGGCCAGTATTAACAAAACTTTCAGGTTGTCATAAACATCTCATTTTCTAAATCACCATTACGAGATGTTATTTCTTACATCCAATTGATGTATAAACTTGTCACGAATAGCTACAGACGTGATCAGAGATCTAGTAGCTATTTTAGTTACATGAGAATATATATCGATACATGTTTTGTCTATATCCCACAATTTCTATGAATTTTTATTGAACTCAGTCCCTATAATTCTTTAAAAATTCATTTACACCTAATTGGTTCATTTCCTTTAAGTAAGTCTATCAAGTCCATCTCATCTATAATTAGCTATATATACATATTAAACATCTATTTTATTGAATTTTTGAACCAAAGGTGGTTAACGAAATTTAATTTCACATAATCATACTCATGACATCTCAAATTAATTATTCTATCAATAATTTAATTTAATTTCACATAATCATGTCAATAATTTTTCTACACTTTACTAAATAATTTAAATAGCAACATCACATGGTTAGTTAACATCATATGCACATAAGTAATTAATCAATCATATAAATTCACTATTTTCACCTTCCATGGTACTCATAGTTATATAATAATATAACTTCAAAAGGAAATAAATTTAGCCACAAGCATGCCCTATATAATGTACAATGTATTTCTTTTTGAGATCATATACATGCTCACAATAAAATATTCATTATGAATAATTTTATATATTTAATCAAAATAAGACTATATATTCAACTACAGTCAAGCAAAATCTCAAACCACCACTAAGAGGATCTTAGTCCATCCTCAGTTTTTACGAGGAGTACATATACTTCAATTTTACATAACACATCTCCTACTTCCAACAAGAATAAGGAAATTATATTTAAAATTCATATCAATAAAATAATTTTCAATCTAATGAAAATTCAATCTCAATAACCACACTAATTTAATATATGAGATTAAACTTAAATTAAGATACTATATTACCTTATTTTCTTTTTCACAATTTTAAGCTACATCTCAAAACAACTTAAGATAATAGAGAAACAACTCATTTTAGCTCAGATTTTGATAATGATACGAATTGAAAATTGCTAAATCCTCCTATGATACATAAAATTTTTAAAACCTTTAAACTCAAAAAATAGAAAGAAATAATCTCACAATTGTACCTATATATTTGTCAAATAAACTTCCCAAACTATTTGGGACAAAATTCAACCAAATTAGAACAACTAATTGATGACCAAGTCAAATAACTTGCCAACAACGATTATTATAGAGCCCATGATAGGTAAAAGAAAATATATTGAATATAATAGATTAATTGATAATTAAACATATATTAAATATTAAACACTCCAAAATTTACCTTCTTCTTCGCTATTGCTATATAATTTTCTCCTTTCAAATTATTTTCAATGGTCTCCCTCACAATTGTGGTTCTTGCACACAATCCATCATCGACAATAATGTCAAAGAATTATTTTTCTTCAAGTGTGCCCTACCAATCAACAATTCTGAAACTTAAAAAATAGAGAAATTAATAACCTCAAAGGAACAATATCACGTAACTAAACTACAAAACATATTAAAAGATACGGTATAAATCATAATTTAATGTGTGGTCTGTCCATATAAGATACATTTCTAAAATAAATGACCCTAGTAATATCATGAAGACATTATCTCTCTATCTTTCTTTCTTTTATTTCTCTTTCTTTTTCCAAAGAAGAACCCTTCTCATCTTTTCCTTTTCCTTTTCCTATTTTTCTTTTTATCTTTCCTCCGGCCGCCCAAAGGAACCCATCTTCTCCCTTCCTCTTCTTGATTTTTTTTTCCTTCTGGTCGCCAATATTCCCCACCACCATCCACCCTCTCTTTCCGGCGACTACCTCCGATGACCACGGAGAGAGCGGCACGACGGTAGTGACCCACGGCCAGAGTAGATCGTTGGTCTGCGTCACGTTTCTGGTGACTCGATCCGGCGTCTCGATCTGCAGATCTAGCGTTCTGCAGCAGCGGTCGTTTGATCCACTACGAGCGGCAGTTGAACTACAGTCAATTTGCTCGTGGCAGCACAGATCTGCGAAGGCATAGCAGGTGAAAACAAGAATGAGCAGATTCGAGCATCTGACGGTCGACGGCACAAAGCGGGTGAACAACTCCGAACACATCAACTCAATCCACGAATACCCGAACCACGATCAGATCCGCTTCGTCCAAATCTGCGACGACTCGAACCAAATTTGGAGCGTTCTCCCCACGAACAACCACTTTCACGGGAAATTGGGATTTTTGGTCCATTCTTGAATTGAATTTGGATTTTTGACCCATCTCAAAAAATTCTTATTTGTGACCCTTCCATTGATAATTTGACCCTTAAAAAGTTTAAATATTGATTTTACTCACAATTCCCTCCCCGATTGAATTAAAGAATGAGTAAAAAAATCTATCTTTTTAATTTGAAGAATCTATAACGAATTGGAAAAAAAAATCTCAACTTTCATAATTTCAAGAATCAATTACGAACCTAATATGGAAAAAAATCTTGAAATTACATAATGAAATAATTAAATATTTAATAATAAAAAATGAATTTTCTATAATCTCACCCTCATATTTCATAAATGTCTGAATTTAATTTAAAAATAAAGTCAAAATTTCATCGATCTCATGCCAAGATAATTACGTAAATGTCAAGATAATTAGCAAAAAAAAAAACCTAAAATTACATGAAGCCCGACTCGAGATATCCTAATCCTAGCCCGAGATAGCACAATCCCATATCGGGATTGCATGATCCGAGACTTGAATTGCATTTTAATGCTATCTTAGGTTGGGATAATGCAATCTACGTACAAGATTATGCAATTCAGGTTCAGGATTATGCTATCCCGATTGGGCCAAAGCGAGAACCAAGAGATTGTGAGTTCGATTCCCAAACTCCACATATTATAATAAAAAAGAAAAAAAAAGCTAATTCTGCCACTTTTTTTCCCTCGTTGTTTTCTGATATCCACCAGTTCAAGTTTAAATGTCCATGTCTCAATTTTATAAAAATATTGGTAAAATGTCGTTGTCGATGGATATTCCTATAAAAGTTAGAGAAATTAAAAAACCGTAAAACATATTTAAATTAATAAATAAATATTTTTCTATTTCTAAATAACTTGAAAATAATTAATATTAATATCAGGTATATATTAATGATATTTTGTATCATGAATGCCACACGGCAGCACACGAAACTCCTAACCCCATTGTCCCAAAAAAATCACACCAAAACGAAGAAGAAATGGCTCCAAATTCACGAGCTTCTGCAGTCAATCGCCAATGGCTTCCCTTTCATCGCTGTACGTTTCCTCCTCCTCCTCATCCCCTCTTCCACCTCACCGCAATTTGAACTCCTTTTTCCGCCATGGAAGCAATCTCCCAAACCCTACAAGAAGCAGCAGCAGCAGCACCAGACGAAGCAGATCCACAATCTCGCTCTCCTTCCGTACCTCCTACCGATTCTCTGTCGATCACGAAGACGAAGACGAGGAGGAGGATCAGATCGCTAGAGATTCCTGCTTCGACGAAGCGGTCGATCTCTTCAATCGAGGGGCATATTACGATTGCCACGACGTGCTCGAGATTCTGTGGAACGGAGCCGAAGACCCTACCAGAACCCTAATCCATGGCATTCTTCAGTGCGCCGTGGGGCTTCATCACCTCTTCAATCGGGTTGGTGAATCGAGTATTTTCGCGTGTTTGATTTTGTGGAATGGAGTGAGTTCTGATTGTGAAATTGCGAATTGATTTGGCTCAGAACCATAAAGGGGCGATGATGGAGCTGGGAGAGGGGCTGTGTAAGCTACGGAAGATGGAGTTTAGAAGTGGCCCTTTCTTTACTTTTGAGAGGGAGATTTCTGCAGTTCTGGACTTCGTTTACCAGACCCAGATTGAATTAGCTGCTTGTAAGTACTTTTTTCCCACTTTTTGAAAGTCAAATTCATTCAAGACACAGATACTATTCAACTCTGTTAGGTAGTGCCTATTTAGTCTTTAGACTTCTTTCAAAAAGTTGTTGATATCATTGAACTTTGACAACGATTATGAACATGAGCTGGGTAGCTATTCTCTTAGTCTGTTCTTTAAATAGGATTTCTTTGCTCGATGGATAAGCATTTGTGTTGTTATCAATGGAGCATTCTTCCTAAACATGTGAAAAAGTGAAGGGGGTTTGAAAAAATAGATTTGAAACCATAGTGGCTAGTTAAGCCATTAAGATTTCTTAAGAGTGTCTTAACAACAAGTGTTGTGAAGTCAAGTCCTTGGTGTGGTAATATGCAAAGATGTGCACAACAGTGTGTTTCAGATTGCAGCTCGAACTCGGCCTCCGGACCGACCTGAACGCTTGGGCGGACCTGCACAAAAAGGTGAGCACTCCGACAATCAAGTCAGTATAGGTCGGATTCCCAGTTTAGTTCGATGCCAAAAATCATCGTACCTGATCGGGGAGTGAGGTCCTCTACTTATGGGTGGTAGTCCCGCTAATCTCGCGACGGTTACATTCGGTAATCTCGGGACCGTCGGTTA